ACTATAGTCAGATTTTAATTTATTTTTACGAACGTTTGATATGAAATTTAAACTTTTGACATAGAAAATAGTTTCTTCTATACAATCCATTTATATAACTACGAACTATAATTAGATTTAAATTTATTTTCACGAACAATTGAGATGAAAAATGAACCTTTGACATAGAAAATGATTTTTTTGACTACACAATTACGAACTATAGTTAGATTTAATTCTACTTTCACCAACGATTGAGATGAGAAATAAACCTTTGATACAGAAAACAATTTTTTATCTAATTAATTATGAACTATAATTAGATTTCAATTTAGTTTCACGAACATTTGATATGAAGTATAAACTATTGACATAGAAAACAGTTTCTTCTTTACAATCTTATTTATACAACTACGAACTATAGTTGCATTTCAACTGACTATCACGATTATTTGATATGAAAAATAAACCTTTGATATAGAAACTAATTTATTTTTATCTGCTCAATTACGAACTATAGTTAGCTTTAAAGTTACTCTCACGAGCCTTTGAGATGAAAAAGAACCTTTGACATAGAAAATCTCAAAGAAAATTTACTTTTGTGATCATTAGATTTATCTAACTTAATCATATAATTTACCAGAAACAAGAAACTTTAAATTTAAACTTGTAAAAAAAATAAAAAATAAATTTGTAAACAAATGTTTACAACGGCAATAAATCATACGGCAGTAAATCCTGTAATCCGATTTATAAATATTTTTAACAAAATAATTCAAATATTTGAACTATTTTTTTCTAATAATGATGTCGCTTTAGTTTATTCAAGATCTTGGTGCAAGATAATTACAGTTTAACTTTTTTTCAGTCTTCTGACAGTTTTGATATCTTGAGTAAAGATCTTAAGAAGATCTGTGGTACAAGATAATTGCAATTTAACTTTTCTTCATGTCTTTTGAAAAACTTGATATCTTGAAGAAAGATCTTAATAAGATCTGTGTTACAGACATGTAAGATATGATCAAGATATGCTTTCTCAAAAAAAGAAATTATCTTTTTAAGATCTTGGCAAGATCTTACTTACGAATTTCAAGATTTCCAGATCTTACTTACAAGATGTTCGACTAGGGCAATCTATTCTTCTTCCATTTACTTGCATTGACAGCCGAAGTTCTTGCTGAACTGTCGATCGACATACGAGGAAATAACTTTACTGGAATATTTCGATCACTCATCAATATTATCATCGCAACAGCAAGCAACAATGTGAAAACAATCAGGGAATTGATTCGACTAAAGAAAACATAGATCAATCAAAGAGATTCGAAAAATTTGTCACCGACCGATTATAGAATTTAATCATTGCATAGACTTCTAAAGTAAATCCAAAGCATTTTCATAAGTCATTAAGTTCACATTCAATATTCTTCACTGCCATCAAACTATTACTTGTGTTGTTATGAAAAATGAATGAAATCAACAACGACATTCTTTAACAACAAATGAAGAACGAGAAAAAAAAATTTGGTCACATGTTCTTTATATTAATGCTTCCAAATAGACCGTCAAGGAGAATCTCTCCATTGCTTTAAACAACGTAAAACTGTTTGTACAATTTCTTGTCGTTTTTTTCTTTCTCTGCTGATGATGTTATTCATCTTCTTCGCTTCTACATCCAATCCTCAAGAAATTTATTGCCAAAAAAAAAAGAGTTTTCATAGAAATGAAATTTTATTCCAGGACACTTTCATCATTAATATAGAATGTTTTAACATCTGATGAATTGTTATTTAAAAAGAAATTTTTTAACAACTGTTTATTTTCTTCTTCCATGTGTTCATTGTTGGTTTCTACATGAGTACGAATTTTGATAAATTTTAAATTTATTGGTATCGTTGCATTAGTTTTGATAGTTGATTGATGGGTCTAATAAAGAACAGAAATAGAAATAATAACAAATAGCATTTTATGCATACCCCGTGCGTTAGTTGAAATTTATTTCCATTAAAATGAATTGAATTTATCATCAAATTCTCTAATTTTGGTAGATGAGGTAATAATTTTTCTGTCAATGTATGAAACGATACTTTTGTTGTATCTTCTAAATGAATATCTATTAAAACAAGTTAGATAAATATATATACTGGGTAGATACAATTTGAATAGATTACCTCCAATAATAAGTGTTTCTAAATTACTAAATGATTTTTCTTTATCTGATAAATAAAGAAATTCTAAATTAACATCGGAATCACGCGATTGAATACCAATTTCACATCCACATGAATATGATTTCACGTTTATATTCAAATATTTTAATGATTTCATTTTTGATGATATCAATTGACTACATAATCCTATAAAGATAGATTTAATTAAATATTTCTTATTTTTAGTTCATATAAATATATTTACGTTCTATATCCTGCCCATGTTCTTCTGCTTCACTAATTTCTTGTAAAATTAATTTTTCCAATGTTTTATATAATTTTATTCTTTTATCAAATATTGCGTCACATATCACTCCAGCATGTATATCAAATAATGTTAACGATTTTAATTTAGAAAATTTATCTTGAAATAAATTATCATTCATTATTAAAGTAAATCTTTGTTCATTAGAAGTATTCATTGATAATGGATAGTTTTTACGTAATGATAGAAAATGATTTAATTTATAATAAAAAGTTAATAAATCTCCATTTGGAATTGAATCTAAATCAATGATAATATCTGTTTGATATAACATTAATTTATTGATACGTTGATTTAAACCAAAGAATGATTGATATAATTCGTAGAAATTAAAATAAATAAAACAATTTAATATTAATTCATTTGGTAATTGTTCGAATTTTGTAATCATAGTTGAATTGGTCTTCTGTCGTTTTCTTTCCGACATTAAACTTCTTTTTTTTCACTTTAGACATTAACAATGATACTAACTACGTTCGGTTTTATATATCTATGTAATTGCACAACAGTGTGAAAGAATTTATAGATAAGAGAGATTGTTTTATCATGCAACAATTTAAACATTCGACATTTATTACATGTAATTCTTATATTTTATTTACAAAGAAATACAATAAACAGAGTAGAAAGAACTATACTGACAATAATATGAATAAAAAGTAAAAGTATTTTTATTTGATTATGACGTTGACCACCAGCATTTGTATTTGTACCTGCTTCTGTATCTGCTCGTACATTTGTATTCTCTGTGCGAACATGACTGCCTGTTGGTGAGACAGTTGTTCGTTGTTGATATTGAATTCTTTCAAATATGATTATAACAATTACAATCCATCCAACCCAACATGAAAAAATAGGAACAAGTCCTGGACGAGATCTTGACATAAGAATAGTCATGAGAAATATAGTTGGAATAACCAAAGTAAAAGCTAATAAACCTGTAATACGATGACTCCAATCAAAAATGCAACGAAAACGACTTTGTGGATGACAACGATATAATGCCAACCATATTTGTATCATAACACAACATACAATTATACCACCACATATTGAATGAACAAATAAACGGATGTCAGACGTTTGAGGATTGATCCATTGACCACCAGCATGAACTAATATTAAAAGAAAGCCAAGAAGTGTTAATATTGGTGTTAGAGAAAGAAAAAATCTATGTATTTGAAACCAAACAGCTTTGCCAAGTAGTTGCCGACGAGATCCTAATTTTAATGAACGTCCATAACGTGCAAATAAAATACCTGTTGAAGCAAATACCATCCACGCAAGGATCATAACCGTACCGTGAGCTTGTATTAGAGTGAGAGTCATAGAAGTATGTTGAGAGTGTTGTCAAACAGTTTTGAAAGATATGATAAGAATGTCTTCATTTACTTGTCATTTTATATAAAAAAAAAGATACGACTCAATAAATACATTTTACGCATGAATAAGAGAAAAAAATCTTTTATAATACAATTTCTATAGAATTAATTGTAATAGAATCTCGTGATACTTTTTCTTATGAAGGACATGATAGAATAACAAGCCAGTTCGAATATACATAGCTGTTTAAATCATGCATTATTTCTTTGCTAAAATCCAATGAAATTAATGTCAAAATGAACTATAACCGTAAAAATTTGATTACGCCTCGTTTTTTTTCTGAAGTAAATAATACAATTTGAATTCATCGACGAAGAAATTTTGTTTTTGTTTACAGGAGAAACAAGAAAAAATTTTTTATATGAATAGTTCAATACTTAAAGACGTATAAGATAACATATCACATAATGATAATAACAAGTTTGACAGATAATTTATTCTTTTTCAAAATTAACCGTCTCGTTTAAAAATCTATTATCATGAATTACCACGGAGTTACATGTTTATTTGACGTCTATATTAGATAGTCATACATGAAAACAATTTTTCCTGATTATGATTATAATCATTGATACAACAGGATGTCTTTAGAAATTTATCCTATTTTTATAGTGGAAAAAAAACTATGACTTTGTATTTTGTATCGATATAATTATAGGAAAATGTCAAGTACATTGGTTATCGTTCGTGCATAACTTTCTTATACAAAGTATGTCAAAATATTTTTTTCCAAAACAATCTTGCAAAATTTTCATCTGTTTATACTTCATTTTAATTAATTAATTTTTGCACGCAAAGTGTACGGAAATATATATATTTATATATGAGTTTTCTCTGTTAAGTTAATGATTGTTTGTTCTTCAAAAAGAATAATATTAAATCGTATACAATGTTTTATCTACGTCATAAGATAATTTTCCTTCATGATGAAAGACTCTTTCGCATTAACAACGAGTATATATTTAGAAATTTTTTTATAAAAAAATCTACTTCTCCAATAATCATAATGACAATCCAGTCATGGTATTCTCGCACAGAAAGTCTTGTGATCATACCCGTCAGGAGGAAAAGGATGAACACAGTATAGAATATCTTCACAAAAGTTAAGCACGTACTCTTTTTTAGTATTTTAATTATATTTACTTTATACTGTTGTATTAACATAAAGAATGTCTGGTGAAGATAGCGATTTTTTCAAGAATATATCGTCAACATCTTATGAAATCGCTATTCCACGTATAGTTCGATTTTGGATTATTCTTATATTCTATATTCCATCTCTCATTTGTTCTCTATTTGTTTTGTATTATTTTATTGCTAGTCGAACACTACGTCA